TTACTCTAAAAAGGATGCGACGAGAAAGAGAACCGATTTACATTCTTCTCTTACGTTTAGAGAACTCTTTCGTCTATTTTCCTAATTAAGACGAATTAATATGTGATTGTGCAGAGCTGAGTCCATCCGTACGTACTCGGTACTCGACTGTAGAGGACGAGGCGGTGTTTGTAAGGGGGTTGGCGTGACAGAGGCAGCGCGCGAGGTGAGATGAATAAATAAAGAGGGTTTTGAAAGGCGGTCGCCGTGGCCCAAGAAGCTTATTACGTGGCGTCACGCGATGATGTATCCGCGCTGGTTCAGATCGTCTCCGAGAGATGGGACCACCGACCGTGAAATATGCACCAACCCCCGGGTTAAACCCCCTGGAGGCAACCCGCCCACCCTTGTTCACCGCCGTATCACCACCTTCGGACGTAGGAGATCCTCGCAGACTCCTCGGCTTGGGGTCGCCGGGGATCCACGTTCCCTCGCGCTGATTTGAATATCAATCTTACGCGGGGGTGCGTCGATCGTAATTAATGGCTCGATTTCAGAACGATTCTCGACGGCGTTCGATCATTCGGGAAATTTAAAACATCTCGCCGTCTCTTTTATCGTATAAAGACGATACGTTATTTTTCACGCGGATGTTCCCAGTGCCTGGTTTCCCGAATTCGGGAACACATTTCGGAGATCCGTTGCGTTGAGCATGAATAGGTCGACGGTAATGGGTGGAAGAAGGGTTACGGCACGCATACGGGGGATCCACTCGAGTGGTTTGTCGTTTGTGGTGGGTGGAAAGCTCATGAAGTTCGACCCTAAGTGCAGAGGCACGTGGTGGCACGGGGGACGGCGCTGGCGGTGGATAGAGAGAAAAGGGAGCACGTGCTGTCGCGTGTCGGCGAGCCCTTGTGATCTATGTGCCGTCACTGCACCACCTACGTGTATATATGCATGGAAATTATTGCTACATCGGCCAAATATATCCCTTCTAATGTTCCATCGCTATGTCGCTCTCTCTCGCCCATGTTCTAGGGGTGGCCACCTCGATTTGCCAAAACATTTTAAAAGCTATCGATCCCGCAGAAGAATAGAGGCATTTTTGTGGACGAAAAGTCGTCGAGAAAGCTTTCGGTCACAGTGCATTAAAAGTGGCTATAAATATTGATGCCGATGTACTTACTAATACGGAAAGTATGTCAGAACGTAAAATCATTTAGAATCTTAGATCAATCGGGGTAAATACTCTGGCATGAATTATTGTGTGAAATTTCGGTCGAGCGAAAGGCACGGGCGTAAACAGTAAATATTAGTTTTGAATCGCGATGATCCATTGAGCGATGATCCGCGGTCGCGAATCGAACGACGAATCAAACGAGAATCGTGTGTATCGCGAAAATTGTTCGACGAGACAAAAGTTTGATGATCGAAAAATTATTTCTTTGGCTTCGTCGTGAACCAGTGACGAGCAGCTATGTCTGTGATACTAGAAGTGATCGACGTGTGGAACGATGACTGCTACATCGAGAAACTAGGGAAGGAGCAACGCAGGGAACTATTTAGCACGACATTCAGTAAGTTCATTCCCAGGCGTTCATCGGGTAAACTCGTTATCTAAACGCTACTATCGTCGATAAAACCAGAGAAATCTAACTGGCAATTATAGCTTCGTTGCTGGTCGAACGCGCGCTTATCGATGATTTTCACATTTTCGCGGTGGCCGCATAATCGATTAATTAAACAGCGCTTGGGATCTTTCGAGATTTAATTAAAGCGAGCCAAATTACGTCACAAACGGGGCGAATGAAGACCGGATCGTTCGTCGACGAGTCTGACTCCTCGCGCAATAATCGCGTCTAAACAAGGGGATGACGGACACCGCGTAATCATATTATGACGTTGTGGCCTTTAGCTCTCCTGGGGACGAGGGATGGGCCGTGTGTTTGACATTTAGCATTACCCGCGGGAAGCACGGGAGCTCTGTCTATCATCGGGAGATTTCATTCTCGTAACATTTGCCAGATATTCCCCGCGCTCGTAATTTATTTGCAATCCGATTCTCATACGCGGACGTATCAGTGTCTCCGATTGTTTCGCAGGAACTTTGGTTAAACGGGAACGATCGTTCGATAGGTGGAAGCGCAAGACGTATGGCAGGGAATCGTAATTTATTTTTGTATCAAGCGGATGCGTCTAACTAGTTTGTCCCGGGCGAAAGTAAGAGGCTCTCCTTCCAAGATTAACGATACTTTAGTGCTGTTTTAAAGAGGTATCCACTCCCCGGGACTTTCGCCCGGCTAGGGCGGTCGCACCCCCTGCCCTGGAAAATACTCGGGATTAACCTGCTCCACCTCCGTTCGAATCCTCTCCCTCTCGGCTCCTCCTGAACTCACCACTTCGTTATTTCCTACCGCCGCACCATCGTCGAACGGGAGGGTCGGAGCGAAAGATCCAGTGCGAGGAAGAGAGAGAGAGAGGGAGAAAAAAAAGAGTGTAGCAATCGTCGGAACTTGAAAGCAGGGCATTTTATGATGACTACAAAAGTGGTCCGGCCACTGTTAGGGCGGCGAGAAAGAGGGTGGCACAGCGAGGCGAGACTGAGTTACTACCCCTACCAAGCTTTTTTTCCGCCCTTAGCCGAAGATCGTGGCGAGTAGAGAGGAAACGATAGAGAAGGAACAGGAGCGCGATTCTCCCTTACCAGAGAGAACGCTCCGCAGCCAGGGACTTGAATTGATTGCTTTCATTACGCAAAAAAGTCACTTCCTCCCGGTCTCCTTCTTCCCCTGCCACCCGTCCCGCTTCCCTTCTATCTCTCTCTCTCTATCTCGTCCCCGTGTCCTCGTTCTCCCTCGCTCTCTCCCGCGGCATCCCTCACCTTGGCCTCCGTATTTTTAACTTGCGCCGCGCGACACTGGCGAATAAGTAAGTGTGCTATTTACATCAAATCTCGTAAGTTATCGCCGGCCCCCGTCGCCCTCCGCGCCGCTCTGCCACGCCACGGTAATACGGTTAGGGGTTAATCTTTTGCGGAATAGTTACCGAATTCCGTCGGACGCTCTCGCGAAGAGTTCTCCGGGTTTTTGCGGTTTTGAGAGCGGCCAGCCAACAGGGGGATAAATTCGTCCGGCGGTTTTCCTTTTTTCACCCTTCTTTTCTCTCCTTTTCGGTTCGAACCAGACCGTTTTTGCCCCGCACTCGGTGATTCTCATTGGAGACCCATTATCCACGTCCACGCGACGGCAAACAGAAAAATAATTCTCGTTTCGTTGACTCTAATTGCAACGACTAATGAAATTCTCCGGTTGATTCTCGCGACAGACGTCGACCGTCGATAATTACTTTTTAATCTCGACGGAGCGGAACGAGATTTTTAGAGTCTCGTCGATCTTTCTTACGACGACGAACGAGATTGATACAGCGGTTGGCCGACGGATCAGGAAGGATAGTCGGTCACCTAGCTACCGATTAGCCATCCAAGAGAACGGCGCAGTCACGTTTCCCCCAATGATCGATGCACCCGGAACAGCGAGCTCATCTGCATCTGCCCCCGCCCTTTGCGACACGAACACCATAGCGCGCGGTACGAAACTACGCGGTCCGAGTGTCCCCCAATCCGTGTCTCACGTCGAGTACGCCGCCGGTGCACTCATGTAGAGGACATATTGCCCGTCAACGCGGCCCGAGCCGCTCGTTCGTTCAGTCAAATGATATGCCAAAGCGTAATCCCGCCAGATCCTCCAGAGATTAGGTCGATAATGACGGATGGATAGTTCTTTGTCCCCGGACGACGACACAGGTGAAACAAGATTTCCTTCGAGGGTTACCGGAGGGGCAGAACTCGATCCGATTTCCCTTTGTTTCTCGATGAAAATGCTCGATCGTTTATGAGCGTGAAACGAATCCCGAGGTTTGCGACAATGTCGAAGGTTAAAAAGTAGTCGTGGTAACAGGATGCGGTGTGCAATCGATCCCGGCTCGACAATCGAAAACGCACAATCGGCCGGCTAGGAAATTACAGGATCCCCGGCGGCTACGTCGAGAGTGTCAGGTACGCGTAGCTGGTTACGCAACGACGCGTTTGCGTTCGACAGGAGGCGCGTTTCCCGATCTCACGTATCTAATGTCGTGAATGACAGCGTCGGAGCCCGGCGGAGGAGGACTCCGAGGACTGAAAACGAAGAAAGGAGTAATGAAAGAACGCACTCGAATGTAAACCGGACCCTTGTGAGATTCGCGGCCCAACGGCGGTCCCACCGACGCCGATGGCTGACCGCACCTTCCGGCTGATCCGAACACCGGCCCGTACCTTCCCAGACGCGCTGCCACTTAGACAGGTGGGGGCCCCCCTCGGTGTCTTGCCCCCCTTCTCGCTCGATACAATTTTTTTTTCTTTTGCGCGTCGACTTCTTGGCTGCCAACGAAGTCCCTTTCATGCACCATTTGCTCGAGCATTTCGGACATTAACGCAGTTTCTCCCAGGTAACGCGGAACGCGTCTGCAGATCCGTTTCGATGCTCCAGCAATGAGGAGAGGTTAAACGTCTTGGAAACGAAGAGCAGTCGACGAGGTAGACGAAACAGAGGATGCGTCGAGAAGTTTCGCGTAATGGTACCTCGACGAGGGATGTTTCCCGATCTGGATCGCGGTCAAACCCTCGCCATAAATTCCGCGTACTCGCGAAAGTTTCGTGGGACTCGCAATAACTCGACGCCAGGGTAAAAATCGGATCGGCCATCGGGGAAGTTGGATATGAGTAATTCGATCCCGCTGAAGGGTAATTGGAATGCATCGCGCATTGCCTAACTTTCGAGTTATAGCCCGGCATAAAATTGATAAGTTTCTTCCGGCGAATAAGCATCTATAGATTACCGTAAATGTTACACCCGGGCCCTGGTTGCAGCGGTAGGTACAAGTTCCCAAGGAAAAGTATCCGTATAGCCGGGCGCGGAGAGCGCGGCGCAGTTTGTAAACCAGTATATCGTCCCCACCGCCGAGGATCTCCCTACCCGAGCCGCGACACGCGTAACTTGCGGATTCCTAGCCCTTTCCTCCCTGATCCACCTTTTGCGACTCCACTACGGCCCAGTGTTTTATCCGGCGACGTAATCAGTCTCGTAATTAACCGCGGCCGAGTCCGATGCGTCTCCGGTGATTCAAAACAAGCAGTGTCTTTTTGAAAACATAGCCGATGTGTTCGTTTCAAACGTCTAATTAGTCCCCGAGAGCGAATGGAATCCGAAATCGCGATCGCGAGGCAGTATTTTTGTGCCGTGTCGGATCAGGGGTTGGAAAAGGTGGTCGAACGATGACGGGGGTTTCCGGAAGCAAGTGGAGCGACAAAGGGAAAGTCTTAAATAAATAAAATCGATAAGGCGAGACATCGTATCCTAGGAGAAGAAGAAGAAGAAGAAGAAGAACGTAGAGAAGCGGCCGGAGAGGGACAAGCTCATGAATAAGCAGTGCTCACGGGGGTGTGCGCCGCGTGATTTCGCGTGGGACTGTTGGCGGTAGACCAGCCGGCGAACGTTTATTTCGCAACCTTTGCCTCTTCCATCCCTGAATCCGTTCCTCTCCCTCACGGGCGATCTCTTCGTCCCACCGCGGTGGATGCCAATAACGACGTTATCCCGCGCGCGACGCTGCCGCTGGTTTCCGTAGAAACCCCGCGTCGCAGAACCCCACTTCGTATCCACGTGATCCACGAGCGGGCCAATGGTTGGACCGAGTCCCGCGAACGGATGCTGGACGAGGGATGCAAAAGGCGGGGTTGCGATCAGCGTGGGGATGAAAGCTCGACGATAGAGGCGGGGGTCGAAAAGCTTGGCGAAGTCACGTGTGCGCCCGACGCCAGAAGCCTCGTTCGTGCTTTAACGTCGTTGTTACTCGCACGACCGTACCCGCTTTTTGGGGCCCGACCACGGCGTTACCGCGATTGATAACGATAAAGACCGAAGACGTGATCGGGGACCTTCTCATCTGTTCCGGACCTTTAGATCTACGCGGCAGATCGTCAACGAGCGTTCGGTAGATATCCGCGGTTTGTGTGACGCTTGGATCTTTTCCTGATTCATAATCGCGAGTGATAAAACGAGAGTGAAGTTTTATCAATGACGATCTGGGATCGAGATCCTTGACGATCCAGTTTGTGATTACTTTTACAGAAGAGGGAGAATCGTATACGGTGAAGTGGAAACTGTGTTAACTGTATGACAATCCGCCGTGACAAGCTGAGAACTGAGCCATCGTAGACCGAAACGACGAAACGAGAACGTTGTCCGATATCAAACGAGAACCTAGTTCGGTACCAAAGGATGAGGCCCGGAAACCCTTTCGGGGACCCGACCGGTCCTTTATTGTGGATACCGCGCGAGTGTAGTTCAGTGATGCCGCGGGTGCAGTGAGGGGAATCCGAGGAGGCCGTGGGTGTCCCTTGGATCGAGTTTTAGCCAGGGACTCAGGAAAATGAAGCGACGGCCGACCGGGTGCTCGAAGCCACCCGTTGTCCGGCACAAAGGCGCTCCTGATGACAGTCATTGTACCGCGGCACCATAGACTGGTCCACGGAGGTTGCCGTTAAAAAAGGAGACGATAGCTAGGCGTCATCGTCAATAGAAGCGACCGCTGTTTCACACGTTACACGCGCGAATCTACGAACGGCTAGAGGAACCACCTGGATTCCCACAGCCGACGGCCGTCGGCCAGCGAGGGGCCGCGATGGACCTCAGCACTGCCTATCGCTACAATCAGAATATGATGGAATATTACACCTGTAAGCCCTAAACGCGTGCAATCCTTTAAAATATTCTCGTTCGAAACTTTCCTTCAACCCCATAACCGTAGTTCCCACAGTTTCGCAAGTCCTTATCTAATCGCGTCCTACTTCTGATCGTTCGTTTTATTTATGAATTTTTATTCGAGCAACGAACGCGAAATAGGAACGGTCAGAGTAAGAAACGATGGAACGTCACTCGTTTTTATGCAAAATAGGAGAACCACGTAGATTTAAAAGGATGAAACAGAAGAAACGATCAATTCTTTTCGCTGGATCGTGAGAGCGAGCCGGTTGCCATAAAAATCGATTTCTCCCGGGGTTTTCTGTCCAGATCAAGCGGTCCGTGGAATAGACTCGGGAAAGTCGAGCGACGATCCGCTCCGGCGACAAATCTGCATTGTCGCCGGACAAACGAGAGTGCGAACGCAAGAAATTTGATGTGACCTTCATTCCGTCAGGTCCGTAGCGGTACCGGTGACGATAAAAAACGAAACCGCAATCGGTCGTAGTCGCCGATTTGCGTAGGAACCGTTCGCGGAATCGTTCTCCAAACCACGTTTCTCCCCTAAATCAACGGTGAAACTTAACCGATCGCGTAACCAACGCCGAAACGGAAATTCTTTGTGAAAAAAGAAGCTCGGCCGCAGGATCCTCTCGTTTTCTCTCACTTTCTTTTGCCAAGAAATCGACGGAGAAATTCAAATCGTTCGAGTGGTCTCGAACGGGGAAAAGGGGTTGACGCGGGTCGAATAGTGGAACCGTGCCGCTTCCGCGTGTATAAAAGCGAAAACCTGGACGACTTCGGAAGCGTGTCCGACGTAATCGCGCGTGAAGATGGAAAAGCGTGAAGCGACGAAAAAAAAAGGATCGGTGGGACAATCAGGCGATACGATAAATAGCGACGCTTCCTTCGCGGTTTCCGTCCGATTGTCGGTCGAACGATATTAATTAGGCGACCGCGGGCGTAATTTCGCCGCGGGATACGTTTCGACTAATGGCAGGATAATAATTATGAAACATTAACAAGAACGGCGCGGTCAACGCGCGCACATCGCAGCTGAATCGTCCCACGACCAATGCGCCAATCCCTTTCATTGAACAAGCAAAATTATCCGCGTAATTGCCATGAAATTTACTCTACGCATCGAACACCGAAAAATCCAACCTTCGACGAACAGATTAAACCTATTACCTTTCCGTTTATGATTCCACATCGAATACTCGCAGTTCAATGCGTATAACGACGTGAACAATTAATTGTATATAAAAATAGCAAACGATATTTAACTTCTAATTGCTGTGACGATTGGACGAGTCGTCGAGCGGTTCGGGGAAAATAAGAGCGCGGTCTTCCCGCTGTTTCGCAGGTAGCCAAGTCGTAAAGTCTGGCAACACGTAATGCCAGACCGTAGGTAACGTAATACAGGGACAAAGCTGCAAAGAAATATCGTGTGTCCGAGACGAGAATCTATATCGCGCACGCAATTCTTGCCCGATGCTCGTCCCCTCGGCAACATTTCATCTTTCATGGATATCTTTTTCCACGCGAAACACCAAAACGGACATCGTCGTCGAATGAATTGGTCTCGCGTGTTCCGTTCGACTAACGCGATTTCCCAATCAGCCGAGGGTATCTAATCGCGAATAGTTCCCGTATCGCGATCGCGGGCCTCCGCGCTCCGACCCGTTCCGACGTTCATTTAAAACGAGCCGTGAAGATGGAACGATACGTTCTCGCCACGCTCGTTCCGCGGATTCCGGATTGGCGGACGTATTAATGGATCGCGGCGATGAAAACCGTGGCGGCGGCCCGGAAATGGTTCGCAGTCTTATTTTGCATCGACCCGGGTTTCTTGCAACGCGATGAGATTAGGAAACGGGCGCTGGCTTTCTCCGACAAACCCGAGTCGAAACGCCGATAAACGTTCGATTAATCCGTGAACGGAATACTTTGTTGCGCGCGTTAATATGCTGTGAGAAAGTTTGACTGACGGAGAGTTGTTTTTTTTTTTTAATCATCCACGGAACCGAGCCGGCAGTTTCACGCTGAACCGGCGTCGAGGCTAATGCGGCGTTTTGTAAAAGAAACGCGAGTCGATAAATAAGGCTAACGAAATTACACGCTGGTGCAACGGAACGAAGAGACGCGTTGCGATGCGGAGAACAATAATAAGGGAGGAACGGCGGGACGATTCGGGCTACGAATCCAGGGCCCTCGTATAGTCGTGGTCAGCAGGCGTGACGGCGTGTGTATAGGGTGGTCATGGTGCTTTTGCCCGTGGCACCATGACTCCAGGACGATATCCCCCTGACTACCGGCCGCGCCGCGGGGATGCGACCATAAACGCGAGAGCGAATTGATTTGCGACCGGAAAGCGCGTATCGTTTCTAGTAATGATCGCGGATGCCTCATTGTCTTGCTGCCGCGGAGATGGCCGAACCGATATCGCCTATGGGAGGGAAAAATCGGAGGTTTACGCGTCGTTCCGGCGACAATGACGCTCCTGATCGAAATGGCTGGCTCATCCTGGTAATTAACTACGATCGTTTCAACGGGTCCGAGCCTTGTTTACTTTCCACGGAATAAATCGATTTGAGTTCATCTGAAAGTAGGTTTCTCGCGGGAGGAATCGCTGACACGCAAGAAACTCGCATACTTAACGCCGCGTGAAAGTTGAACAAATCAAGAATTAATTTTCTAGTAGAACGATTTCGTGGACAAGAAGATGCCTATCAGAATTGTTATACTCGACTGCGTTATTGGAGCGGCCGCATTATCGCGATTCTTACGTTCCCGCGACAGGTCACTACGGCCTGCGTCGAGAAGAAGTCGATCGAGCGGCGATGAAAGAAACGAGGGAATGAATCGGAGGGGTTAGGAACGGCGATCATCGAATCATCGGCGCACTGGCACGTACACGTGGACATATGTCGCGGTCCAGAACCCTCCATTACGATATTAGATCGAAGTTATCGCGTTAGGCAGCTGTAATGCGCGAAAATAAACCCGTCTTGAGAGAACGGTGAGCGTCGCGTGGAAAATCGAATGACGCCTGACACGTTGCCCCTTCGTCATTAGCAAATGCGCCGAGGGGAAGGCGTGAGAATTACGCTGCTGAGTGGTCCATGTAAATCGGCCGAAGCGAATAAAAATTGCCATCGACGTAGAGCAGTAGTCGCGGTCAGTTACGCGTTTTCACGGCGAACGATCGCGGAAGTTCGCGCGGAAACGGTGTGCCCCCTCGACTAATGCGTTATCGATTTCCATTTTCCAGGCCACGGCGGAGTTAACCAGCTCGGCGGCGTCTTCGTGAACGGAAGGCCGCTACCGGATGTAGTCAGGCAAAGGATCGTCGAGCTAGCGCACAGCGGCGTCCGACCGTGCGACATTTCCAGACAACTCAGGGTATCTCACGGCTGTGTATCCAAGATACTGTCGAGGTGAGTACCGACACCGTTCCCGGCGCCATCCAAAACCCCCGGCTCGTATCCGTTACAACCGCAGCCACCGAACAGCTTTTGGTTTTCGCTTTTCCATCCTCTACGACCATTTCCTCCGTCGACTCTTTTCCGATTTCACTGAACCGAGCCACGAGATAATCGGAACCCGTTAACTATTTCTCAATTGTCGCTCGGAACGAAAGAACGCTAATTCGTCGAGGCGAATGATTTAGCGAAAGATCAAGCTCACAATTCCCGCGCGTTCCAAGTGGAGAACGGAAGAGGAGAGAGCAGGGCCGAGCGAGGAGCCGGGCAAAAAAAGAGACTATTCTCGGTCCGGGAGTGATTTAATTAAAGACGCTGTTAGGACTACTGGGCGAACGAACCCGGGGAACGAAACTGCGATGCCCGGAAGGAAGAAACCACCCCTCTTCCTCCCGCGGCGGGGGATGCCAGCGGGTGCGACGATATGCGGTTTCCATGTTTTTTCCACCCTTCGCCCCGCGTTACATAACGGGTGGCCTCGTGCCGTTTTGATGGCCCGAATGTCATACGTCCCTCTGAAATATCATCGTCGCATTCTCTCTCGCTCTCTTTTCCACGCGCGTGTAATAAACCGGCTGAATTATTCACTGGTTTTGCTCCTTATCGATCTTCCTTCGACCGAAGTCTGACCAGTACTTCCCTTTTTCCACTTAAAGGAATTCTCGCGAGCATCGGACAGAAATTTGTTCATAGGAAATCAGCGAAATTAACTGGAAACTGGGATCGTAGATTCACGGGGATTTGAATCGGTCCGATGAGCGATTTATTGCACGGCGATATTAACGGCAATGTGTTATGAACAGAAATTAACAGGCATATTAACGTCGTAATTCATTATTTTTCAACTGATTTACGGGAGATCGGATCGATAAGTAGCGTTGCAGCGACGTGTGAATCAGAAAGAAAGCGCGGTTGAGCGGCCGGCGAAGTTTCGCAACGAAATTTCCTAATCGCTTATTAAAAAACAGGTCCGAATAAATTAAGCCGACCGAGATGGAGCAACTGCCACTTTTTTTGTACCCTCACTTCCCGGTTTTTTTTCTCTCTCTCGAGATCGCGATTTAAAAATCATCGGGCACGCTTTTATTTTGCCAGCATTTCGTGCCGCGTCGGTTCTATTTATACGCATACTTTAAATATAGATTACGTGTAATGCGAGTGTCCAGGGCGCTTTTATATTTTCATGTGAATCGTTTCAACGCGCAACTCGTTTCTCCTATCGCGTCACTCGCGACTTTACAAGCCGCAGACTTTACAACCACTTTTTCTTGCGAAACTGCGGCGAAAACGATCCCCGGGCCGAGCGACCAGACGCTGTTAACGCTCGAGTTTTACGCAGTCACGCGCCACTGATACGTCGCGACGCCTCTTCTTCGCGGAATCGACGTCTTCGACGCATCTGCACGGACCGAACGGAAGCGCGAGCGAAAGCTGTGCGAGAAAGGTCCCCTTTGACTTTGGAACATCGTACAGTTTCCCGATCGTCTTTGAAAAAAATTCAGTCCGGTTCGTACGATGGTAAATGGGAAATTAATGCGGCTGGGGTGAACGGTCTCAAAAATCGTGCGATTTAATGGGTATTTCACGGGGGCGGAACCGAAGGGATTGAAGGGGTAGCATGTGGACCTGTAATAGGGTTTTACGGCAGATATAATAATTTCGAACCCCCCGACGCTTCTATTGTAACAGGTTCGCGGACAACTTTTACAGAGGGTGAAACGTCGTGATACATTGTCCAATGATCGCGACACGATTTAACGAGCCGAACAGAATAATTCCATAAAGAACGTTTCCATATTTTTTTGCGATACATTTTTCACCGAGCCATATATTTTTTCGACGTACGACGAACAAGGAGAGGAACGGTGACGCGCAGAAAATTGGTGCGCGTCGGCAGTTTGAACGGGCATGAGTCGACGCCGGCGGCGGACCCACATCCATCAAGGCGGCCCACAAGCGGACCATTATTGCGGGCTTTCGGTCGTAATTGAATTTAAGCGCACCAGCGAAGATATTATTTAACTAATTAGACACAAAGGGCGCGTTCACGATGGGAGAATCGCGATTGGGCATCGCGTGCGCGTACGCTGAATAAAATAGGAGAGAGAGAGAGAGTGCCGAGAGGTAGAGGCCGTTTGTTTTAAAACAGCCGGTCGTTGACGCGCCGCTGGACGGCGTTTCGTTATCCGGCGTTGGTCGCGGGAAAAACGACCGTTCCCGTGTTTCCCTACCTCGTTTCCCTTTGATGCCATTCGACCGAGGGGAAAAAAGGACGCGGCCAAGTCGTCCTTTCAGGCTCGAATTTCTCTGATCGATCGTAAGAGCGTCTACGTCGCGGAAACAGTAGATGGTCAACGATTCTGAAAAGTCACGCGGTCGACCGTAATAGAATCGCGACACAGATATTTTTCTTTCTTGTCCGCAGGTATTACGAAACCGGCAGCTTCAAGGCTGGAGTCATAGGCGGGTCCAAGCCTAAGGTAGCGACGCCGCCGGTCGTCGAGGCGATCGCTAATTACAAGAGGGATAATCCGACGATGTTCGCGTGGGAGATCAGGGACCGATTACTCGCCGAGGGCATTTGCTCGCAGGACAACGTGCCATCCGTGTCCTCTATCAACCGGTGAGTCAAAACTTTTATAGAAATTCTCAGACCGTTCGACGCTTGAAGCGATCGCGATTGAACGGTGCGAAGCACGTTGTCATCGTTGCACCGGCTGCTAAGAATTAATCGTTGAGACGAGAAGAAATTTATCGGCGATCGAAGAAAACGAATAAGGGGGCGCGAGCATATGCTCGATCGCCAACGGGACCGATTAGTCGTCCGACGAGTCGAGAATCACCCCCGGGCCGTGCATCGAGATAAGCGTGCACCCGGTCCGATCCTATTGACCTTTCGCAGGTTCCTTCGGGAATGGGCCGATTAATTCAAGTGTTTTTACGTCGGCCAGAGTAGATCGGGGTGAAAGAGGGTTGGCGTGGCTAGAAACACGAGTAAAGGGATGGAACTCTCGAGTGGAACTCCCATGAGACGGCATTACAGCGTATCAGCACCGCGCAAACTGAACGAGTGAATCCCCCCTTGTAAGAGCAACAGAAAATCCTAGCAGGGACAATGAAAAGAGAAGAGAGAGAAAGAGACCACCGGAGTACCATTGATCGCCACACATATGTCCCGAGATTTAATCAGTCGCTACTTAAGACCTTATCTCCCGCTTCATCCGTACGCAGCCACTTCATCGTTTCCTCGCACCCTCTACGGGTCTCGCGCCCCTCACCAGGTCTGATAATGTAATCGAGCGTAATGTGGCTAGAATTGGCTGCCGCGAGTGAAATCCACTAACACGATTTCCCGTTGGCCACGGGTGTTAATGGATACGCACGCAAATCGCTCGTCACCCAAAGCATTTCAACAAAAACAAGGAATTTCGACGTCGAGCGACGACTTCAATTTTTCGTATCTCGTCGTCGCTGTTTCGATACTCGATTGAAAATTTCCGAGAGTCAAGGACCGGTCGAACATATTTCCATTCCATCGATTCGACGGTGTCGCGATAGTCAAGGCAGCGTGAAACGTGGGCGTATGTAAGGTACAGGAATTGCTTTCTGGTCGAGGTTTTCGATGTGTCTAGGATTGCAGCGGAGGGTGCGGCGGTGGCTTGTTGCTCGAGTGACTCCTCCACCTTCTCAATTTTCTATCTCGCTCGTGCACCCGACCGACCTTCTCTGCAGCTCGTCCACCTTCTCCTTTTCCTCCATGTCCGTATCCCCCGACCCAAAGCCCAGATGGCGGGTATTGATCTGAATCCGGAGAGCAGATCGCCTGGAAAAACTTACCCCGCGGATACTTACGTACCCACCTACATGCACCTATCCGCTCTACCTTTACCCGCTCACGTACGATCGAGCCCGCAACCTCTCGGCCTCTCTACGTATAGGTAAATGTATTTCCGCTCGCCGAGCAATGGATAGAACCGATGCTCCGCTGAAAATGCGCCCTCCAATCCAAGTGATTGTTCATACGAGAATCGATCGTCCCAACGGGGAGGATCGAAGAGGGAATCTTTATTAAATTCAAACTACGAACTGCACGTATGTTCTCCGAACGAATTATAAAGGACATCGTGGATATCGCGAAACGTTTGACCTCGCGGAAAGAGAGGAGAGCAACGATTTCTGGGACGGAAAGAAATAGCAGGAATATTAGGGTGTGCACGCCGGGATTTCTCCCATTATGAGCGTGTCTCGGTTTTTCTAGCTTCGGGCTAGCTTTCGTACGGAGAAATAATGATACGGCTAATATAATGTATTGTCCTGCTTTTGCCGAGGCACTCCGGAATGAGACCAGCCGCGAACAGTGGACACGGAGAAGCGAAGAGAAAGGAAACGGTGGTGACCAGCCGGTAAAAAAGCACTGGCCGAGGAGAGCGAAATAATGGAGTGGCTTTCGCGAAAAATAACAGATATATATCCCGAGTATGAGGCCGGGATCAGAGGGGAACGGACGAAAAACCTGGCCAAGATTGGAACCCTTCAAGGCTTGTTTCTACTTTGCTGAATCAACCGAGCAATCTTTCTGCTTTTTCCTCCTCTTTTAGGGTACCGTGCGCGTCTTCCGTTTTATTTAAACGTTTTCTTTCCTCTGTTCTATTAAAAATCGACGGTTCGGACGAGTGGAAGACGAAAGAAAAAAAATTGTAGCGATGGTACCGCGTATTTCGGGAGGAAATATTGATAGGCTCGGCTTCGGTTGCGGAGTCACGCTCGAGTAGCCGGCTCTCGGTCGAGGTCTATCTTGCACACATATACATTCAACCGGCTTTCCCGTTCTCTCTTTCCCTCCAGTGTTTCTCCCCGAGAAACGGCTTCCTCCTTTCGACCGCGGAGGAAGTCTCAGAGGCAGATCGATAAGGAGCGAGGTTCGCCCAAGGGCTTTATGCCGGCTTCACAGCCTCCTTCTACGAACGAACGACCCCCGAGACGTCACGGTCTCGCGTGTACCTACCGCGTTCGCCCTTTCTTGCGGCTTCCAGTCGATAGTGTACACCAGGGCTAAGGGAGGATTACTCCCTTGACTTCCTGTCGTTCCATCCGTGGATCATCCAAGAAAAAACTTGCTAAACCGTTATCTCGATAGTACCCATTCTTCTCTCACTCTTACGTTCCTCAGCTCGGGTAACAGGTGAACAGTTTTCGAATCGGGATCGAGACCGATTCATCATTCCCTCCCCTTTACTTTAATTCGACGTAATGACCGAGCGGAGCAACAACAGTTGGTAGGAAATCTGTCGCGCGGAATCTCTCTCGATGGAATTGTATCAATCTGTCATCGCGAACGGTCTCCTTTTTCTGGTATCGCGGCGGGTCAATCTCCCGTGGAGGAGCCGGCACGGCAGCCACCGGGGCTGCTCTCCATTACTTCCATATCATTTCACACCCCCGGAAGCCTCGGGAATGGCGCGAGGTCGGCGCAGGAGCACGGAGGAGCCATATGGCCGGTTGTTCTCCGCGACGCCAGAGACAAGGGTGGCCAATAGGACGGTTGCTACTTTCATGCCACTTTCGGCTTTCCGCTCCGCGTCACCGGCATCTCCTTGTTCATCTTTCGCTTATTAAATTACATCCCCATAAATAACGCCTGCCTACCCGACTGCCTTATTTACCATTTCATCGACTCGGGAAACCTCTTCCCTCTCGACGAATCATCATTCGTACTGACTTGCATTCCCACAGAAGAGGGACCACTTCTTCTCCTTTTTTTTTCATAGTGTGGAAAGAAATCAGGACCGACACTGCGTTAAGTATATTAACGATATATATTTAATCGGATTCCGACTCGTCGCGACCAGCTTCTTTCTCGTCCAGAGCTGTACTGTCCTAAAAACGTTCCCGAAAACGCAGCAAGTCTCGGACGTTAGACTTTGCCGTCGTTATCGGGCCGCCCGTATTACTTACAATGTTCTTCGCGCTTCCGACTGGCATTTACCATACTCGTACAATATCTTACTACATTATCCTACACTGTGCTGTTACGGAACAATCTAAGAGCCTACAATAGTAAACGAGATTCGAAATTAACCAAATAGACGACAGCACGCTCATTGGCGCGCTCGTGGAATTAAGAACAGAACGTTTCGACGCGAGGTCGAGGCGAAACGGGAGACGAGAATGAAAGAGCAGCGAGAACGACGGTATATAATGTTGAGTTAAAAGCCGCACACGAGGTCGGAGGGAAACAATATGGTGCACCGTGGTGAAGTTTCGTTAAAGCAGCCATATTTGCAGAACGAGCGGATAGACCCCTCCTACGTAAAAGCGGGAGCACCCTCGGGGTTGGCCGGAGGATCCGGGGATGATGGTACACGCTGAGAGCCGCGGCGGCGCGTATCCATAACCGTCCTTTGTCTGGATAACACGATTATTACCGCGTTTCATCATACCCTCCTCGGTCGAAATTAGCCTCAAATGAAGTTACAATTACGGTATCCAGCCCGCGTCCCCGGCGTCGAACCGAGGGGAGGGCGAGAGGAGCGCGAGGCAACCTCAGGGGTTGAACGTCGACGAGGAACACGACCACAGCAACGAAGACTACTACGAGGAGGACCGCGGCCGAGATACGCAATCCAGGTTGCCGTGGAAACGTCAGAGGACAGACGGAACCGCAATGAAACCGGATGGCCGGCTCCTCCGCCAGCCCATAATGCTTCATCCCCTTTTGTTCTTGCCCGAGAACTATGCTAAAGTCAGTCGGCCGGAGCATCGTCAAAATCCTCTCGCCACCGATTGCCATCTTTATATTTAATTCGTCTCAAAGATTCAAATGCATTATAAAATATATTTTGACGATGCATAACAAAATCGAAAGAGCAGAACGCAGGGTTCCTCTCTCGTGAATTCTCCAGGATGAAGAAGTTACGCTTGATCTGTAGAACTTTTTCGAATTTAAGGATGTATTGGCTATACAATCAATCCCAAAAGTTTATGTACCTTAGAAAAACGCATTTCGTATAATTAAAAAGAAATCAGACGTCGGAAGAATAATGCTAATAATAAATAGCTACGTGCTAAAAAGTATAGAAGGAAATATCCAATTAAGTATTGACGCTGGCGAAAGCATTTTATACAGAAATTATAAGCCCTGACGTCCTCAACAAGAAAGATTCTATGAATTTTTCTTCTAACTTGAGTATTTAACAAGTTACATATGATTATTTGGCATTTTATTGATGTTGACAAAATCCGACCATCCCAGCCTCGAAACGGCGAACTTTTGGAAAAAAATTTCATTTTTCCTCAATAACTTCTAAACCGTTGTACTTACGGGAAAATTGCATAGGACCTTTCTTGTAGGGGACGACGAGATCTACAATTTCCGTATAAAAATTCTTCGCTAGCATCAATAGTTTACGAGTTATTGACGAAAAACGAAAAAACAGTTTTTTGCAAATTACTCGTAAACTATTAATGCTAGCGAAATAATTTTACATGGAAATTGTAGATCTCGTCGTCCTCTACAAGAAAGGTCCTATGCAATTTTCCCGTAAGTACAACGGTTTAGAAG